CTAAAACATGGTTCTTAGTTGATGTTGAGCAAGATGTCATAACATTTTGACCAACTGTCATGATATGTTCTGCTGTCATGAATATCAGACAGATGTTGAGTCACATGTCTTGACATCTTGGCCAACTGCACAACAGGTGCTGCTATTATTTTTCTTGACAAATTCAATTTGATTCTGTGATATCCTCTTGGATTATCACACTGATTTTTGCAGTTCAAGAAGATTTTATTATGAACGGTGCAAATTTGATTTGGTTTCTTTAAAAAGGATCTTTGAGACTCTTTAGAAAACTTTGAAGATTGGTACCTATTTTTGTTGAAGATCTTGTAGCTGATTTTAAATTAGAAGACTGGATTTGATTGAAGAGTCCAAGCCCATTCTGCAAGATTCTATAAATAAGGACTTGCTAAAACTAAAATAGCAAGCATTCATAACAAAAAACCGTGGGTGCATAAGGGTTTAGGGTTTTGGGAGTCTTTTAGAGTTTTTGTGTTTTTCTTTGTATGTCACTCATGTATCTTTTGATACATTGAGGTTGCCTGACTATTCTTAGTTAAGAGCTTTTAATCAAAACTAAGTATTGTTCTCACTCATGAACTTATAAGCAAAGAGTTAAGTTTTGTATTTGAAGTGTAATCTTATATTTGGTTCTTTTGATATTGTCACTGATTTGTGACTGGTTTTATCAGTGAGGTGATTGTGGGAAGTGAGAGGGGGTTCTCATATCTAGGAGGTTCCTAGGTAGAAATTGCATAGGATAGTGATTAGGTGATAAGTTGTAAATTGGGATTGTTTAGGCTTTGAACTAACATTATTATAGTGGATTTCCTTTCTAGCTTGGTAGCCCCCGAGTAGGTGATGTTGCACCGAACTGGGTTAATAATTAATTATTTTTCTTTATCTTCTGCTATTTAATTCTGCATAACTTCTATTTTAGTAAAATCATTCAAGTTCTATTTACCGTTTTCATTATAATTGTTATATCAATTTTCTTGTTAACCATGTTTGCATCTTCAAGAGTTACTTTGATTGAATTATTCCTCACCTATGAGTGAGTAGTCCTTTAAGGACTAAGGGTCATGAAATGTATTCCTTAATTTTTTTTTATTAACCCATAATGAATTTATTAGGAGAAGTTCAATTGTGTTTGTTTTATAAACTCGAGTTTTTCATTTCAAATCTTATTACAAAATTAAAAGAAGAAGAACATCTCGCCCAACATCATAAATAATCATTATTTCTAAGATAATCTTAGAACTGAAGAAATTTCAAATCAAGGTAAAGTGATTCAATGTCATGAATGTGAAGGATTTGGACACATTAAGACATAATATCCCTCTTATCTCAAAAGGCAACACAAGGAACTGGATGTTTCTTGGTCAGATGATGAATCCTCTGAGGAAGAATCTTCTAAGCGTGTGACCGCCTTAACAGGAAGATTGAATTCTAATATAGATTTCAACTGTAAGGAAGTATGCTATAACAACTTGACTACCTCCTACAGAGAACTGTGTAACAAAAGTGAGGAATTTTATCAAATAAGGATAAATCATAGAATGGTCATAGCTAAACTCCTTACTGAAAAAGAGGAATGCATAGCTGACATTTATGAGTTTCAAAATGAAGTGACCTTGTTAACATCAAAACTCGATAACTTAATTAAAGTTGTTAGGATGTTGAATAATTGGTCTGATATGCTGGATGATATCCTTCAAGGTGTAGAAGGAGGAGGAAGACATATTAGCTTAAGGTTTAACTATCAGTCCTTGAAAAATAAGAAGCAAACTCTTGAGATGAAATTTGTCCCTGCTAAACTGAAGGATGAGAGCAAGATGTCTGACAAAGTAACACAACATCTTGTTAGGTCATAGGAAACTCATTCCAAATTTAAGTTACAACCATTGAAATATTTTTTTGTGTGAAAGATATGGTCACATGGAACAAGTATGCCATATGCTTCATGGATATCCAAAACATCCATCTCGACCTAGTGAAAATGCACCATTGACTAGGACTAGAAAGGAATGGAAAGTGAATGATACTGTCAAGAATCTCATTGCTCATACCTCTCTTAAAGTCTCATCTAGTGGAGAATGGTATTTTGATAGTGGATGCTGTAGGAATATGACAGGTGTGGAGAATTTATTGGTAGATGTTAGACCTCATACAACTAGCGATGTTACTTTTAGAGATGGTGCCAAATGGGTAATCAAAGGTGTTGGAAGACTAGCTTGTGAAGGATGTCCTAAACTTGATAGAGTTCTTTTTGTAAAAGGTCTAACTACCAACCTGATAAGTATTGTCAAGTTATGTGATAAAGGCCTTAAGGTTAAGTTTACACAAATTGAATGTTTGGTCACTAATAAGGAGAATGAAGTGCTAATGAAAGGAGATAAATCTAAGGATAATTGCTACTTGTCGACACCTCAAGATATCAGCTATAATTTAACATGTATGTTTCCAAGGAAGATGAAGTCAAATTGTGGCATCAAAAACTTGGTCATTTGCATTTGAAAGGTATGAATAAGATTGTATATAAACAAGCTACCAGAGGCATCCCTAAACTCAAAATCAAGGAAGGAAAAATCTATGGAGAATGTCAAATTGGAATGAAAATCAAGATGTCACTGTAGCGGTAAAATCAATGAATTTGCCACCTAGTATTTATTTATCCCACATAAAGGGAAAGGAAAATCATCGAAGAAAAACCTGAAGGGGAAAATCAAGGTCTTGCAACCGAGAGATCGGATACAGGAGTCGATTACGCGAGGGGAAGATATTAGCACCCCTCCCGTCTGTAGTACTCTACGGGACCCACTCTTGTATTTCTAATCAAAGGGTTTGTTCAATCTAATGCTTAAGAGCTATAAAAACTAAGAGGGAATGCATGCAAAGAAAACACGGGGAAAAGAAGGAAATATTTACAATTTTTCGCTCGACTGAGCCCCGTGACCAGATGCCTACGTATCCCTTTTAAGGAATTAGAGCTCCATAGTTTGGATCAAAAATTTTGTTTGTTTGTATTTATTAGATGAAAAAAGTTAAACTTAATCATTCCACCGCTGCTCGACCATTGAAGACTCACGAACTATAGTGGAAAGGAATCAACATGTTCTTAGAAGAGAAAAGTCGAATGGCGAAAAGAAATGGATTGGTTGGTTTTTTTTACCATGAAAAGGGTTTTTGTATGTTTAGCGTGCTTTATCCATTTTCCAAGAAAAAGAGTTTTAGTCTTAATGCAAGGATGCAAAACAAGAAAAAAAAATGTCTAAGGGAGACTATCCTAGATCTATCCTTAATGTTATCATACAATGGTGGTCATATGGTTGAGTTTTGGAAGGGAAATCTCTACCCTATGTTAGCATGCATGGATACGTATCCTAATGTCTAGCTCGAAAGCTACTCTAATCGAGCGATCCTAAGGGAGCATGGTATAGCAAACAAATAAGCAAACATGTGCTTTGGTAAAAGCACACAAACTTGAGTAACAGATACTGACTCAAAGGGATGGGGAAACAAGAGAAATGCTTTATCTAAAGGGTGCAGATCAACCAAAGAAAACAAGTGGAAGACAGATGAAATAAAAAAGAAAAGAAATGATTTAGCTAAGGGGAGCGGATCACCCAAAGCAAACAAGCGGGTAGCGAAGTATCAACAATGGCCATTTCGAACTCCTGAAAACATATGGGGTTGGTTGCGAAACCTTCTCCACATGACTGACTCGATACACATGATCTACACGACTCTGAAGCATCGACGTATAACGTGAGCTAAGGATGACACATACTAGAATGTGCAGGGGTTGATTGTGAACCTTCCCCACTCGCATCCTTTTAAGGACTTATTATATGTACTATAATGCGGACACAAATGTAAACATGCGTGTAAAATACCTACTTCATAGGTAGGATTTTAAACAAACACATATAACACACAGAAGGCGGTGCCTGCTACAGGACTTTAAATAGAGACTTCGAGCGCATGCTCTTTATTTCCTACTTCTCATGATCTTTAGAAAGCAGTAAAATTTCTACTTCTCATGATATCTAGAAAATAATAAAGTGCTGAAATGAGATAAACAAGAGAAAATACCAAACAGATATCAATCCATAGGAAAGCGTATCAAAACAAAGAAACCCAACAATCTTCACGAAAGCTTCCCCAATCAAAGAAAAGAGTCAGAAAGCAAATGCTCGGAATAAGCGTCGAAGCATCGTCGATGTAAAAATAAATCACAATCAGAAACTCAAGCATATCTGTACGCCATAGAATAAACCTGCATAAGACACAAAATCTCAACAACAAAGGTGAATCGCAAGTCTCGAGTAACAAAATGATTACTAATGTAATCGATAATAGAAAATTATAAACAAACTTCTACAAAAGAAATTCTAAAAAAATCCATTATATTCTACTATTCTTTATTTTTTTTTTTGGACAAAAAAAACCATCAAAAACTAGAGAATTAGTTCTTAACCACAAAAAAAACTAACAAGTCTCATCAATTTTGAATTTTTTTAATCAAAAACCTATAACAAAAAAAAGGAAAATTCCATGGAAATTCAAAAAGAAAATTAATCTCAATGGGGGTATTAAGCTGAAATCAGGGGGTGTTGTAGTAGTGGACTAGTCGATAGGCCTAATCAACTTGTAGCCCAACAAGGTTTTTGTTCACAAAACATGCCAGCCTCTAAAAAATAAAGTGGGCTTGAGGAATGGTGGCTGAGTGCGGCCCAAAGATTTTTTTTATAACAATAACTTCCAGCAAAAGCTTAGAGGGCTCACTGGAAAAGGAGGACCCGGTCCAATTCCATCTCTTTTTTTTATACAAATAATATTTGATCTTCATCATTAATAAAACAAAAAAAAATTAATTTAAAAAAAATAAAAGAGGAATTTAGGGTTAAGATGTGGCTTTTTAGTTCCTATGCGAAAATGACTTTTCCTCTCACTTGCAGCTTGTGGCGGCCGATTTCCCTCTCAACATTATTCTCCAATCAATGAACGAGAGCGCCACCACCATATCATATCTCAATTTTGATCTCTCATCACCGTGTCACCGTTCATGATTTCACCAACCTCTTCATAATGTGGCTTCGTCACCTTGTCGTCTCTCACCTCTAAACATTACCGGATATCGCCTCCACCACACCGAAGATTGTGGAGTATGGCTTTTATCTCCACAATCAAGAGAGAAACTCGTTTCCTCTTTATGAATCGCATTTTAGACTCAATTCCACAAGAAAATGCTTTAGATCCTCTCAGATACAAAGAAAATATAGTCTACACGCACAAGGATAGGACATGAAAGGAATCAAATATGCAAGAATTCAGGCTTACCTAACGGAAGAAGACTCCGAAGATTATTCTGATTATTAAAGAGGATTGGAAAAATCTGAGACTATAAAGGTACTATTATACTTCCTGTTGTATTCCTCTTCTCGTTATGCTTCATCTTTATCCTTGTTCTTGAGTTGTGCGATTTAATACGATTTTGAAATGGAATTTTGTTGTTGTTACAGCGTAATAGATTCACTTCAGCTGATGCGATGATGATGATGATGATGATGATGATGATGATGATGATGATGATGATGATGATGTGCGTCTTGTAGAATATTGTTGATGCAGAGAAGTGAGAAATTGACGATGAATATGTGAAGGTTTATGGAAGCATATAGAAGTGCAATGAAGATCAATGATGTTCTGTGATGAATAATGAAGATTATGAAGAGTTGAGAGGGCATAAAGAATTCTGTTTATATATTCAGTTGAAATTTGGAAAAGTATGTTACATGAGATTCCCTCTGAAAATTAGATCATGGAAGTTAGTTAAAGATTTGGATGGATGAGATTGCATCTGGTTTCAGTTAGTTTGGCCGTTCTCTTATGACAGTTAGGAATTGTTCAAATCTGTTACGAATTTAGTATACTTTTCGATTATGACTCTGTTTGTTTAGAGGGTGAGAAAAGGTTAGGTTAGTTAGCATAAACTGGCATATTCTGTTGTAACTGTTTTTCGATTAATTGCTAGTCAAAATTGAAATGAGATTGGAATTTTCTATTTTATGCTAAACTGATTTTCCATTTGAGTTTGGCATTGAACTATTATTTTTGTGAATTTCCTGAATCATTTCTACACTAATGTAGGGTTGGCTTATTCGAACGGATCGTGAAGTGTTTGTTTCTCACTGACCCCAAGCAAGCGAGAGAAATTCTTAATGATGATCCTTTGCTTTGCTTCATGAATATTAGCTGCAATGTTGGGAACTCCCAGAAACATAGCAGATGTAAGATGCACTAATTCCAAGAGCTCTAGATTTATATGCATATGATATGACATCTACCATCTTCTCTCCAACCTTTTCTGTTCTTGAGTCTTTTCATGATAACGACTCTGTGAAACTCTTATGTAAGTAATTCTTTCATTCTTCCACCAGAATAGAGTTCGGCTAGACATCCATGTGCTTCAGAAATAAATCCAACCCGAAAAGAACATAGACCTAAATATGACATAGCCTTATTAAAAAGTATCTGTGTTGAAATGTCCATGCGCTGAACATTTTCCTGCAAATGACTAATAAGCAGCAGATCACGAGCTATTGAGAATTCATTAAGAAGAGCATGGTGATATATATCACAAAGCATTATCTGAGCTTTAGTGAGCTCATCACCATGTTTGTATATATGTGAAACTAAAACATCCATTAGAGTCTTGTTATTCTCCAAGAAGGCTGGTTTCCGAGCCACAAGCTCAGGAGTGATAGCAAATGCATTAGGAATTCATGTATCCTCAAAACATTTTGATTCCTCACTCTCCTCACTTGCATATTTTGTTATCTCAGCCAATTTCCTCATTGCCTCATAAACTTCTTGTGATTTGTAGTAGATGAGTTCAACCCTCTTCAAGGCCACCTTGGAGGAAGCTTTGAAATCCCCACTAATTTCAAGATACACCTGGACATTTGAGAAATAACCAAAAACAAGGGCTCACCCTTGAGTCTCACAACACACTCACCTGTATGAGGATCTATGCACTACAAGCTCTTGAAAAACCCGGTATCTATTTTTTATAAGAAAGTAACTAAGTTACCCCAAACCCTGATTGATCCATCATAGTCATCCCGTTTCTGGGTTTCATTTTCATCTGGATCCACTGAATAGTCAACCTTTATGTTTGGAAACTGAACTAGAATATCAAGGATGAGCAGCATATTCTGAACACATTTTTTCCACATAGTTATTGGCATATGGCTACTGAGGCCTAGATTATCATCAAACTAAGCAGAAACCACATTGAAAAGAAACTCAAGCTTCTGTGAAGTTGTTTTAGCCACTTTTGTTAGGAATGTAAGCTGCTCAACCTATTCAAACCTTCCAGTTCTTCTTTTTTTATTTAAAAAAGCTATAGCAACAAGCTTTGGCTTACTTGATCCAGGATTTAGTGTAATCATATCTTCTTATCCACTAGAGATTGAATATGTCAAAGTTTTACCTAATGACTCACGTGTATAGTTGTAAGGGATTCATAAAGCTTACCCACATTAAAACTTTGAAACACATCATTTCCAAGGACCCCAGGTGACTTTACTTGCGACATCAGTGTTTTAGTGCAACCAATTCATACTCTTCTGATTGAAATGCCCTATATATTTTTGTAATGTAATTTTCTTTTCAAGTATTCTTTCAAATTATAATAGAATGTTGAACTTCTTCTAGCTTGAATTAATTCGAGAGGAAAATATGTACCATAACCCGTGTGCATTCTCCCGTCAACATTCCATGAGAGCATGAAACAAACACATGTCACCCGACTGGTACAACCTAGTCTCAAATTGAATTACAAACTCCAGAAGCAACCAAATTCCTTTTGAAAACTAGACATAAATGAGCTCCTAACCCATAGCCCAACCAAAAAAACATATCTCGACTTGATGAAAAATTAAAGCAACCCTTAATCACTTGACAAGTAACCTCGCAAAAAATAAATCCTTTGATTAAATTCTCTAAACTTCTTGAAGGGAAATCCTTGTAGAGAAAGTTATTAGTAGAGATCCTAAATGTTGATGATGAACCTCCAATGGTGATTTTTGTAGCCTTGATGATAAAAACAAGTAAAAATGAACCATTGTTGAATAACCAACACCAATGCTTAGGCATATCATAGGAGAAACCATAGTTCTTTGGGTATTGAGCGCACATAGGAGAAGAAGTGACTCGAGATATCGAGAGGAATCAAAACCCTGGCTTCAGACCACTGTTAATGAAGACATAATGAAATCTTGAGCACACGGTAAACCCGAAAGCACTTTTCTCAAAGAAATTCTGATGAAGACAACCTTAAATCTCGAGGAACCCTTCTAGCAAAGACATCTATGATGCTTGTGATCCAAAGCCCTACTCTATACCAAGAATGATAAGATCACCAGTTGAATAAACTTTGAGTAAGGTAGCAACCTCAGTCCATAGAGAAAAACTCTAATGCCAAAAGCCTTTTGATTTCGTAACCATGGAATCGATGATATGCATGAGATGTATATGATGTGATGAGGGATCTTAGGGGCAAAAATTGGGGTATAACAGCTTCCCTTATTTACGTGTCTTCTTTTCGGAGATACGAAGGTTAAAATATTTGTCTCTACGCGATTGAAGACACTTAAATATAAAATAAACCCTATTTTTTGCCCTAAGATGCCATGTGATGCTTATGATTATGGATGTAAAATATAAACTTCATGCAGGTGAACAAGATACACTAGAGAAAAAAAATAACATCAACAAACTAAGAAAAAGAATTCGACCAGGAAAATAGATCTCTAGGGAATAACACCACTCTGGGGATAGAAATTTAAACCCATTAGAGACAAATCAACTCTACTGGGGAAAAGAAGACTCAACTTTACTAGGATAAAGCCCATAGAGGAGACAAAAATAACACCAACTCAATAACTGAGGAAAAAGCAATGGATAAAAATGATTGACCGGTAACTGTGAACTATCTAATCATAGAGGAGATAGCGAAAAAGAGAGTAACATCAACTCACAGGGGATCGACAACCTCTAAACCTAAGAGGCGCGAATAGAAACGATAAGATAATATCAGCTCAGAGATGATGGTAAACATCAACATCGAGATTAATAAATGAGTGATTGGTATCGGTAATTATGATCGGTAACAAAGATTTAAAGTCAACACTTATGGATGGAAACAAGGTTTGACATCAACACTTATGGCTGGGAACAACTCAACTCTATCGGAGTAAGGTCCAATGAGGAGAAAGAGATACATGCCGACTAAGAGCGATGATGAACTACCAAATCAAGGATTAAGGTAGAAAAAACATAGAATAAATATCGACTTTTATGGAAGGTAAAGAAACAGAAGATACACTGATATTTACTGAAGATGAACTACCAACTTTCACTGAAGGTAGAGATGCAAAAGATGCACCAACTTTTACTGAAGGTGAGATACCAACTTTCACTGAAGGTAGAGATACAAAAGATGCACCAACTTTTACTGAAGGTGAAATATGCATTAACAATAACGAGTTTCCCAAAAGTCGGGCGTTCTACCCAGAACAGGTCTCAACTCCTTCTTTTACCAAGGTATTCCACCTAGAAAGGGTAAAAATACAAGATAACTCAAATAAAGACACTACCACTTGCAATGATTTCACAAAAAACTTCTCTGGGATACTTCTTTGAAAAGATACCATTTAATGAAGAATCAGATAAACCTCCCCTCGATCTTGGCCATAAGCCACAAACTGGTCTCGGTTTCTTCTTTAACCAAGATGTTTCACTTAGAAAGGGTAATAAACTGCTGTAATAATCTTTCAACGAACTGTCTATATCATTGAAGTACAACCAACCTCAACAACGAACTATCTCCTATAACGAAGAGACTACCATCCATCAGAGTAAAAATCTCAACAATGAACTATCTCCCATAACGAAGAGATTACCATTCGTTAGAGTAAAGGATCTCATCAACGAACTATCTCCCATAATGACGAACTACCATTCATTGGAGTAACAAATCTCAATAATGAATTATCTCTCATAATGATGAGACTACCATTCATTGGAGTAACAAATCTTAATAACGAACTATCTCCCATAATGACGAGACTAACATTCATTGGTATAAAAAACCTCAATAACAAACTATCTCCCATAATGGCGAGACTACCATTCATTGGAGTAACATTTTCTCAGGCATTAACAGACTTACTGGGGAAGAACAAGTTGCTCAAATAAAGAGGCCTACCACTTGCTGTTATGAGAAGAGTTGCAATAACACTATGAAAAAATGAATTTTGGCTTCACGAGGAAATACCACCCCATTCCCGTTGAGGAGAAAAAAAAGTTTTTGCGTGCAAAATAAATGCACATTATTAAACCAGGGCTCAAAGCCTGCATAAATCAGAATAATAATGTTGCCGGGGACCGCACATTCAAACCAGAAATAAACCGGAGTGAAACAGTCAACCAAGACACCATCCAACGAGGAATAAACTCAAACAGGGATCAATTTCCAACCAGATAATGAGCTGGATAGGAAAGCTAAAGAAAAATTCTTCCACAAGGGATAACTTAAACGGGGAAATTGAAAGGATATATACTTTCTGTTTAAAGTTAATACTCTATTGGAGAGAGAATACAATAACTTTGCAAAGAGAATAATATGCTAAGAAAAAAATCAATGAATGCAAATGAGTAATGAATTTTAAATTCAGCTATGCATGATGTGTATGAATGTTATTATGTCTATGCTGACAAAACAACCAAACTGCACTTGGAAATAACCAGATAACATTGACTTGGGTAGAGTCAAAAATTGGCTAAGTCACATTTGGGATGAAGATTCCATAAGAGAGTAAGCACCCAATGAGGAAACAAAGTCCTACTTCACGACTTAACTTTATTGGGAAGGAAATGGCTTGAAAACAATCAAAGCACCACCTGACTAGCAACAAATAAAGTTGCGGGGATATAATAAACTCCTCTAAGCTTCATCGAGGAATGTCATACATACTTCGATTGGGGAAGACAACACCTCATCGTCTATACTTCAACTGGAGATTTCAAAACTAACTTCGCTAGGAAGATGAAAACCACATCGTCAAGACTTCAACTAGGGATGTCATGCTGACTTCATTGGGGAAAAAGAAACCGCACACACCGAAGGGAGCCTAAATACATTCTTCAATATCAAGAATAATAGTTGCGCCAACTTCTCTGGAGAGAAATCATGAAATATCATGGGATAATGACTTTAGAAGGAAGCAACATCCTCAACTCATCTGGGGAATTAAGAAGTTAACATCATAACAATAGGTCAACTCTTAGGGATTTTAAATCAAACTCAGCACATGTCGAGAGAAAACCCAAGAAGTTGACATCTATCTGAACACTTCTTATAAGATATTCTGCCCTTGTATGGCTGCTTGGGGTCTACAACAACAGCAATGTCATAACCGGAGGGCATAATATCATGTTAGAGATTCTACGTCACCTCTCAACACAAAGGGAGAAAGAATCCAATGGCTAAGAAAATGCTTCAAAACTTTGCAACCTTTGCTTGACCACCGCTTGACTATGGAAAGAAATCACAGTCAGTCGGGGAAAACTGAATCAAGACTTGATTGGGGAGAATGTGATTAGAAACCAAATAGCAAATAACACCTTGGAGAAAAATCTGAACCAAGCCTTAATTGGGGAAAATGGGATCATAAACCCAAACACCACACCATATGTCAACTGGTATGTCATTCGTCAGTCCAAGGAAAGAAGAAAAATCACATGTGGATTATGCGCGTCTCAACAAGAGTAACCCGATAAATCTTTCTTTGGGGATCTTTTCAAAACTTCAGAATTCGTCCATCCTTGAAATCACTACTTTTGTTCTACTTGAATCACAAAATCTGAAGTAAGAATTAATTTGTAAATTCCTTTCAAAATAT